GGTGCGGGGGGGGGGGGGCTCGGGGACCCCTTCGTCCCGTTGCTGGGAGCGGGGACGTGGGTGGTTTGGGGACCCCTTCACCCCATCTCTGGGAGGGGGGTAGGGGGGCTCAGGGACCCCTTCGCCCCATCGCTGTTAGGGGGGTTCGGGGACCCCTTTGCCCCGTCACTGGGAGGGGGGACTGGGGACCCCTTTGCCCCGGGGCTCGGGGGGAGGTGGTGGGGGGCCGGCGTCGGGGTCGAGGGCTGGGGGATCGGCTCAGTCGTCGTCCACGTCGTCGCCGTCGGAGTCGTCACCGGCGCCGCTGCCGCTGCCGGGTCCCGGCGGGCCGGCACGCCGGTCGTAGAGCTTGTCCCGCTGGCGCTCCTGGATGTCGCGCATCTCCTCGGCGTAGCGGCAGAAGGCGCCGCCGAACTTGGCCCAGGCCTTGTAGGGGACGGTGATGGCGTTGCGGTAGGACGGCTTCACCTCGCTGACCCGCAGGAACACCCCGTACTTGTTGCAGCCCACGTCGAAGAAGAAGCGCTTGGAGTCCACGGTGATGGACGTGCCCTCGGGCAGCTCCCCGTAGAGCCCCCCACCGCCCGGGCCGCCGCCACCGGGGCCGCCCAGCTCGTCCTCCTCGCCCCCGTAGTCGTCGATGAGCTTGGCCAGGGCGTCGCGGAACTCGATGAGGCCCTGGGCGGGCAGCGCGATGGTCTGGCCGCTCTGCAGCCCGGGGGGGCCTCCCGCGAACCCCCCCGGGCCGCCGGGACCGCGGTTCACGGTCTGGCGGATGCGCAGGAAGCGCCCGCGCTGGTTCTCCTTCAGGTCCAGGTAGTACTTGCGGTTCTCCCGCACCAGGAACTCGCTCTTGAGGGCGCGGCGGGGCCCCGCGCCGTCCTCGCCCGGCGGCCCCGCGGCCTGGGCCAGCTGCTCGGGGCTGGACGGGCCCAGCTGCGCGTAGTGCTCGATGAAATCGCCCAGGTAGTCGCGGAACTCGGCGGCCACGGCCATGGAGAGCGTGAGGCGGCTCTTGGAGCCGCCCGCGCCCACCTCGGCGATCTTGAGGAAGCGGCCCTTGGCGTTCTGCTTCACGTCCAGGTAGAAGCGCTTGTTCTGGATGTCCAGCCGCTTGGACGCTAGCTCCTGCGTCTCCTGCTCGGGGCCGGCCGCGCCGCCGCCGCC